ACACTAGTGTCCTACAGAATCCAACATATATTATTGTGTTCATAAACAATATTTATGAAACAGTCCACCAATAAAAATTCTTCCTTTTGTGAGTGCTATCCTGATGACACTACTGACAAAAAGTGCTCTTTCACCACCAAATAGATTGTATAATCTCCACCAGAGCGATATGCAGGTGAAATCATAAACCAGCGTGAACGCCTGTTGCTCTGAGAGTAATGATCTGCAGCCCCCTTCACATGACTGCCCCCACAGTGGTGTCCTCCCTCACATCCCCAGGGGTTTCTTAGAACAGTACAATCATAATCACCCATATAAGGAGAAAGAAGAAAGGAGCTTCCATAGTGTAAAACCATTCACCATATTTATTAATATAAAAACAGTAGAAAACCACTCACATATATTTGTGTCTCCACTGACACACATATGACTCACATATATTTGTGTCTCCACTGACACTGAAACGGCATATAATTGTGAACTGGGTTGTCTCCAGCCCTTAAGCCCAGTGCGAGACTCAACCTGCCCTGGTGGGAAGTCACCTCCTGGCCCCGCCCTACGCATCTCATCACTTGATGTCCTCTGGGAGCAGAAGCAAAAGACTGCATAAGACCTTATAAGAGGGGGGGGGGGGGTTAAATACTATATTCTCACTGTTTTAGCACATTGTACTGTATGTAGAACGAGATATAGATTGGAGGCAGCCAGTCCTCCAATCAATAAAAAAAGTAGCGTTGTTCTATTTTTTAAAGGAGTAACACATTCTAGTTTACGACTAAACCCCACTCCTAATCCTTCCTTCTCAACAGCAAAACTCTGTGTCTGCAGCTGACTTTTTCAGCTATGACCTCTGCACCCCCACAGCCGTCATCTTTACACATTCCTGTCCAATCTGCTTACCTGCTCTGCAAAAATCTCTTCAAAGCAGATGTCCTGTCTTATCTTTCCATGCAGTGCATTGAGAGTGCACTCATTTGTGGCTTCACCTCTCCCCCAGTGGCTGACAGGGGCAGCAAACGAGCAGCAGAGATGTCAGCATCTGGGCACTAGGCTGCCTTTCCAACAGTCCATAAACACACTGCGCCCAACAGCGTGCTCTCCCTTGTCCCTGCTCTGAAAAAAAAGCCCTGCTTAGACATAGAGGAAAGTAGGAGCCAGCTTTTCCCCAAGCCTCAACCTCTGTAATTCTCAGCAGAGAAAAGCAGGTGGAGCAGTTCTGAACAGAGAGCAACCGGGAGCAACCAATCACCTGTTGTTCAGAACTGTACAGCCTCCTGCTTTTCTCTGCTGAGAACAGTGACCATGGCTTGGGAGAAAAGCTGGTTCCTAAATGGTGGGACCATGGAGGTCTGGATAGGACTGTAACTTAGACAGAATCCAGAATGCGGTCCGCCATTTAGTGCTGTCCAGTGTAGTCAATATAAAGTGCCTGTGCTTCTATGGACACAAACAGATGCTCCACTCAAAGTGCTTCTAGTGTTCTCACGTGGACTGAGGCATGGAACTGACCCAATGATGCTAGGTAGAGTTCACTGAGCTTTTGAGGGTTGCCTCCATATACTTGATCACTATCCACGCCCAATGGTCTTCCACTGCATTCATAGCACCACCAATCAGGAAAGGAGATACCAAGGGAAAGGTCTCATAACGTAAAACGATTCAATATATTTAAAAACATAAAATAAAAGCATTCAACTTATTTGTAACAGGGCCTAAATAAAGCCAGCACTAGGTGTATGCAGTTTGTAGGGGAGATGGCCACCTCCATTCAGAAACTGGGTCTAGCTGCAGACTGGAGTTCCACGCTCGACAGTAAACTTGTGACCTCTACTCCAAAAAAAGTTTTTAATTAGCTTAATGTAACAACCAATGGCTGCAGACTGGAGCTATGCTCTTGACGAGAAACATGTGACCTCCACTCAAAGGTTTTATTTTTTTTTAAACAACTGTAATAACTGTAACAACTGTAACAAACAACCAATAGACACAACTCGAGTAAGTGGAGGTCACATGTTTCCTGTCTAGAGTGGAGCTCCAGTGTGAGCTTCTGTGACAGGGAGATCAGAGCTTATCCTTGTTAAAATTTTTTTATTGGTTTCATACATCTGAATAGAAAATTAGAAGAAAAAGGCCATTTTGATGCAAAAAGTAACAAAGGGTATATATTAAAAAAACATAGAGATGGTCAACATTTCAATTGCAACTGGGCCAGGTAGGCATTTTAAATGAGAAAATTGAGTGAAGAAAAAAAAATACACCCTAAAATACACAGATAAATCAAGGTAGCACTAGTTAGGTAGGCTATGGCTTTAAACTCAGAGGGATAGCTTAGGCAGGAGACATATATAATATACTGAACCATAGTCTGACAAGGACTGGCTTGAGAATACGGCCTGGAAAGAACAGAGAGAAAGAGGAAAAAGTATGAAGGAGAGGGAGGGCTGGGGTAGTAAAGGTACAAAGGAGGTAAAAGTGAGCGCTAAAATTAAGCTGCTGTACACCGAAAAGGCACCAAAAAACCTCTTATGACCAAACTGACAACAAAGGCGCAGCGCTGTACTAATGATAATCAGATATGAAATATGAACTGCAAATGCTGATATAACAAAGAAATTATTAACAACAGTGTAATCACAATAGCACAGTCTTGAAAAGCATGTAATCCCACTAATAATGGAAAAGATAACTTAAAGTGACAGTAGTGCATATTACATAAAGTGACCACTTAGTGCTAAAGTGTCAAAGTCTATGTATATAAATAAATGACGTATGTGATCCACTGTGCGTCTTCTGGTGATTAAATATTTGAATTATACACTCACCAGATGCATAATTCCAATATGCATATAGAAACATGTATCATCTCCATGGTTCAGTGGAATCATCTTATGGGTACGTCTACCATCTCTGGGCTTCCCTCTGGGTACTTCTATCCTTTATGGGGTTCCCTCTGGATCATCCGGTTGTATACTGCACCTCTGGACTACCTTCCCTGAGAACTCTGTGGGTGGTGGACTCAGCAAGAGTCCCAAGAAAGGATGCCAGAATGGTGTTGTGTCCAAATATATTTATACAGTAACTGATTTAGACGACCAACTGACATTAACTGAGATTTTACAATGTATTCATCTCAATTGAAAAAAATACAAATACTAATGTGAAGGGTGAAACTGAGATCTGGACTACAGTTTCACCCTTCACAATTAGTATTTGTATTTTTTTTGCTACAGCACATAGGTTACGTCTGGTTCAAAGGCAGTGGTTTTGATGTGCAACATGTCACGCAGGTAATAGTCACTTAGGAATTTAATGTCAAGAGACACTACCAGTCGAGACATAGCACATACGACAAGCTAACAGGGCTTGACCGCAGTGAAAAGTTGAAGCAACTTGAAGCTGTTAAATTCCTTATAAACAGCCACAGTCTCTTGGCATATCAGACAAACACAGTAATTCCATATTTCAGTGAAGAAATATTCCACTTTCCACCTGTCCTGGAAGTAGCGGCCCTCACTGTCAACTTTCCTACTCTTGTTTACAGTCGCCATTTTTTAAATTGACCAGATGGGGAAGGGATCATGTCAGCGCAGTGCCAGAGGTTTTGGCCTAAGTGTGTTCGTTTGAGCACTAATAAACTGCCCAACAAGAATTTTCTTGCCTTTGTGGCTGTGTGTGGTGAAGAGTCTGAACAGCTCCATATGCCTGAGCTCATTCTTAGTCCTGAGCGGCGCTCAGGGATTAATTGGGGGCCACAAAATCTTATTGCCAAATTGTAAAGAATAAACAATAATATTTGCTCATGGAGACTCGGGATGTTCACAGGGATATGAGAGATTCAAAGATGGCATCCGGAGTCCTTGGGATGTTCATAGGGATGTGTGAGATCTAAAGATGGCGCTCGGATGTCCAGCATGCAACGAAGCATGGGCGAGGCCGATGAAAGGCAAAGGCATGCTCCCTTCTTAAGCATCAGCTTATTACCTGTGCCGATGAAAGGCAAAGCCACCATCCCTTCTTAAGCATCAGCTTATTATCTGTGGGGGCCGTATTAAACCAGAACATGGACTGCAACTGGCCCATGGGCTGGACTTTGGACATGCCTGCCCTAGACATTCCCTCTCTCTTTCTCAAGTCTCCCCTCTCTACTCCTCAAATCCCCCCTCCTCCTCCTCAGACCTCCCCTCTCGCCTCCTGAGACCCCCTAGACCTCCCCTTTCTACTTTTCAGACCCCCCTCTCCTCCTCCTCAGACCCCCCATACCTCCCCCTCTCTACTCCTCAAACCCCCCTCTCCTCCTTGGGACACCCCAAACCCTTCTCCTCACACCCCCATCTCCTTTCTCCTGACTCCTTTTCAGACCCCTTTTCTCCTCAGCCCCCAGAACTCCCCTCTATACTCCTCAGACCCCCTCCTGCTACTCCTTGGGACCCCCAAAACCCTTCTCTTCTCTTCAGACCCACTAAGACCCTCCCTCTCTATTCCTCTGACCCCCCCCCCCAGACTCTTCCTCTCCTCCTTACACCCCTCAAACCCTCCCCTCAGCCCCCCTCCTCCCCAGACCCTCCTATCCTTCTCAGACCCCCCCTTTCCTCCTTGTTTGCAATTTATACTATTACTACCCCTGACCCCCTACTTGTCTGCAGCTATACTGTGCTACAGCACGTGTGATCATCATTACAGTACAGACTGTATACAGTACAGTTTGCAGACAGTGTTTGCACTGCACAGTATACTATTACTTCTCCTGACCTCCTTAAGGCCCCTTTCACACTGCCTGCTATAGTTTCTAGAGATGAGCGAATTATTCAAAAATTCGGTTTGGCTGATTCGCCGAATTCGCCGAATAAATTCGCTCGAGCCGAATATATTTGCTGCGAATTTAACTTATAAAAAAGGTGTGTTTCTAGGCTTCAGAGAGCCTTTATATTAGTGCAGAACACTGTACCTTTAATTTAAAATGCCCTTGGAGTCTGCTGGGGAAGAGAAATAATACTGTCAGTCAGTATGACATGCAGATGAGTGCCGTCGATCTTAGAAATCACCGCACACTTCACTCATTTGGGCAGTCACGGGGCCAAAACCAGAGTGTGGAGCCACAGTGTGTGGCGGTGGAGGCAGCAGCAATGGGAGGCCATACAGCACCCTATGACAAAATGGAACCCACCAGCAGTGTGAGGAGACCTGAAAGTGGCACATGGCAGAGTGTGGCGATGGAGACAGCAGCAATGGGAGGCCGTACAGGGACCCATGACACACTCTGGACCTGGCAGCAGCATGAGGAGGGGGTACAGGGGCCCATGTACAGGGGCCGGCATGCATGAGATTACGGGGGGCCCGGCAGCAGCAGCATGAGGAGGCGGTACGGGGGCCCATGGCAGAGTGGCGGAGCGAAGCCTAAAATTGAAGGCCAGCAGCCATGAGGAGGCCCACAGTCAGCGTGGGGAGCCGACCATGGCAGAGTGGCGGAGCAGAAGCAGCTTCAATTGAAGGCCATACACAGGCCTAGGTTTAAAAGTCCCTCACAGTTAATTCCAATAACGAACTCTACTCCTCCGTGCAATCTACTTACGAGACCCTGGGCAGGTCTGGGTCCAATTTGTGGTAGAGACTGGTTTTGTTCAGCCATGCTTGAGCGAGTAATAACAGGTCTGTGCTGCCCTTTGGTGTCTGGCTTAATGCACACAACACTGAACGTCCCAGCATTTGTCAACGATTTGCCGTTAAGTGATGCAAACCCCGCTGAACCACGTTCATGAGGAGCCGGTACAGGGGGCCATGAATCAGTATGGACCTGGCAGCAGCGCGTGAGCAGACGACAGAGGCACATGGCGCAGGGTGGCGGTGGAGGCAGCAGCAATGGAAGGCCATACAGCACCCTATCACAAAATGGAACCCCACCAACAGTGTAAGGAGACCTGAAAGTGGCACATGGCAGAGTCTGGCGATGAAGTCAGCAGCAATGGGAGGCCGTACAGGGACCCATGACACACTCTGGACCTGGCAGCAGCAAGAGGAGGCGGTACAGGGGCCCATGGCAGAGTGGCGAAGCGTAAGCAGCTTAAATTGAAGGCCATACAGAGGCCTTTGTTAAAAAGTCCCCCCAGCAGCAGTGTGGGGAGACGACTATCAAGAGTCCAATGGCAGAGTGGCGGAGCAGAAGCAGCTTCAATTGAAGGCCATACACAGGCCTAGGTTAAAAAGTCCCCCCAGCAGCAGCGTGGGGAGACGACTATCAAGAGTCCAATGGCAGAGTGGCGGAGCGGGAAGCAGCTTCAATTGAAGGCCATACACAGGCCTAGGTTAAAAAGTCCCCCCAGCAGCAGTGTGGGGAGACGACTATCAAGAGTCCAATGGCTGAGTGGCAATCTGGGAAGTCAGCGTTGTGATTGCAGATGCAATGCAGAAATTCTACGAAGTAATGCCGTGGGTGCGAAGAAGATCATATACCGTCGTACTTCCATCCATAAGACGGAACAACCTGCGAACCGGGAGCTTTATTGCCCTGACCCGCTGAGCAGCTTCTGGGATAACCCCAAGAGGCCCATGGCAGAGTGGCGGAGCGTAAGCAGCTTCAATTAAAGGCCATACAGAGGCCTATGTTAAAAAAGTCCCCCCAGCAGCAGCGTGGGAGACGACTATCAAGAGTCCAATGGCATAGTGGCGGAGCGGAAGCAGCTTCAATTGAAGGCCATACACAGGCCTAGGTTTTAAAAAGTCCCCCCAGCAGCAGTGTGGGGAGACGACTATCAAGAGTCCAATGGCTGAGTGGCGATCCGGGAAGTCAGCGTTGTGATTGCAGATGCAATGCAGAAATTTTATGAGGTAATGCCGTGGGTGCGAAGTAGATCATATACCGTCCGTACTTCCATCCATAAGACGGAACAACCTGCGAACCGGGAGCTTTATTGCCCTGACCCGCTGAGCAGCCTTCTGGGATACCCAAGAGTTTGGCTTCTGTGGGGAATATGGTTGAAAACTGAAACTTAAAGGCATGTTGACGGAAGGGCACCAGTGTCAGTGCTCCGGAGGGAATATAGCTTCAAAGCTGACACTTAAAGGTATATCGACTGGTCAGAGACCACAGGAAGTGGAGCTTGCGTCTTAAATCGACTGAATGTGGCAGACGTGAAATGTCTACGGGCCGTATATGAAACGGGTTGTTCCTCTTTCTGGGAATAAGTGTTGGAAATGGCCACTCTTTTTGGTGTGTGGAGTTTTGTCTATTTAATTCCGATAACGGACTCTACTCTCCTCCGTGCAATCTAGTTACGAGACCCTGGGCAGGTCTGGGTCCAATTTGTGGTAGAGGACTGGTTTTTGTTTCAGCCATGCTTGAGGCGAGTAATAACAGGTCTGTGCTGCCCTTTGGATTGTCTGCTTAATGCGCACAACACTGAACGTCCCAGCATTTTGTCAACGATTTGCCGTTAAGTGATGCAAACCCGCTGAACCACGTTCATGAGGAGCCGTACAGGGGGCCATGAATCAGTATGGACCTGGCAGCATTTTGTGAGGAGACCCGAAAGTGGCACATGGCGCAGGGTGGCGGTGGAGGCAGCAGTATTCGGAAGACATACACACAGGACTAGTTTTAAAAGCGGAAGCCGTCAGCAGTGTGAGCAGACGACAGAGGCACATGGCGCAGGGTGGCGGTGGAGGCTAGGCAGCAGTATTCGGAAGCCATACACAGGCTAGGTTAAAAAGCGGAAGCCGTCAGCAGCGTGAGCAGACGACAGAGGCACATGGCGCAGGGGTGGCGGTGGAGGCAGCAGTATTTGGAAGCCATAGCACAGGCCTAGGTTTTAAAAACAGGAACCCAGCAGCAGTGAGAGCAGACGACAAAGACGCACATGGCAGAGGATGGATCTGGCAGCAGTATGAGAAGGACCGGTAACAGGGGCCCGTGGCACAGTGTGGTGATGGGGGCTACAGCAACTGGATGCCAGAAAGTGGCTCCGATAGGGCTATATACTGCATGGAATTATAAAGTTGTAAAGACAAGCGGCCTATAAGGCTATACACACTATAACAATCATTGACTTGATTGACCATTGGCCTATAAGGCTATTACACAGCATGAATATCATGACTTTATTCTGAGAGTGGTTTTGGAAGGGCTATATACAAAAAGTAATTCATGAGCTGTCCAGACAGCGGACAATAAGTACATATATACAAATCAATCATCAGCTGTCCAGCACTGCGGCCTCAAAGGCGACACATATAGAAAGCAATTCATGAGCTGTTCAATGGGACAGCAGCCTCTAAGGCGACAGAATATACAAAGCAATTCCCGAGGTGTTCAGGGAGCGGCTCTGAATGGCTAGGTTATTACTTAAATATATATTTTTGTAGGGCCATAACATCGGCCTATAAATAGATGTCTACACAGTGACAAAAAATTATGTCAGCCAGACAGCGGCCCCTAAGGCGACGCGGACAAGGAGATATACAAAGTGCAATTCCCGAGGTGTTCAGTGAGCGGCGTTGAACGGCTTAGGTTATTACTAAATATATCTTTCTGGCCAAAACATCGGCTTATAAATAATCGTCTACACAGTGTGACAAAAAAGTAGGTCACCCAATACAGCGGCGTATCCTACAAATTGACATTATAAGAAATGGTTTAGACCAAAAAAAAAAAACTTTGATGCGATGCTATACCTTAGTAGATTGTGGATGGAAAGTCGACAAGTCAAGCGTAACTGTGTACATTACAGAAAATCTTAACAAGACACAACCAAACATTTTATTTTGTGGCCACCAAACCGTTGACCGATACAACCACAAAACAAGTTAACAATGTAAGAAACAGGAGGGGGCCAAACCGTGGCAATAAATAAACAGTCCACCTCATTGATGAGATGGACACACACGTGTCAAATAAAAATATTTATAAAAAATTGACTATTCCATCGGTCTGGAAACCTGGTCGACTATTAAATAATTTAAAAAGTTTAAATTCAATGTGACAGTCGTCCAGCGACGTTTATTGGAATAAATAATTTAAAAACCCCAATTTTCATGAGGGGCCCCGACCTGCCAGAGTATAAGTCATTAAAAAGGTTCAATTCATGTGACGGTCGTCCAGCGAAGTATAAATTAATTTAAAAAAACCCCAATTCAATGAGGGGCGCCGACTGCAGAGTATAAGTCATTAAAAATGTGCAAAACATGAGTCAGCCCAGACAGCAGCCTCTCAATAAAATTATATATACTAATGTACGGATCAGGTGGAGGTCTTTCCATTTGTCCTAATAACATGTTTGGGGCTTCATGATTCATGGCGGATTTAGTCTGTTGTGTCAGGAAATTAAACTGGTGGTCTTGAAATCCAGACTAATCCACGCCTGATTCATTTTTCACAAACCTGACTCTGCTCCACACTTTGGGTGGACAGTCGTCGCTGTCCTCCGCGGAGTTTACAGTACCTTCTGCCGCACTTAAACACGCACTCCGATGCCACGCTAATGGCCTGGGTCATTACAGCCTTTCAAGGGCAAATTCAGCTAGTTGGGGCAAACGGTCAAGTTTCGTTGCCCAGTGTCAAGGGGATTGTCTACCTCGGTTGGCAGGGTGCTGTCAAGTAGAGGCCCAAGCCTGTTGTTTGAGGTCCTGCTCCTAGGTCCACCTGATGCTGCTGCTTTGCTGCGGCTGGTTAGTAGTTTCCTCACTGCGCTGGTGAAGAAAGCTACTCATCATCGTCTGCAGACTGAGGCAGCCCGCTGCTGGTGGAGCTGCCACTGCTTCCTACCACCCCCCACCCTCCCCTGCTGCCATGGCAGCGCGGAACGCGAGCGCACAGGGCCCACAGTGTCTGGAGGATGGACGTTGGCGCACAAAGGCAGAGACCAACTGACTACATAGGTGGTTTTATAGTACGTTTTTTTGGCCTCCCTCTCAGCAGGTGTGAAAAATGGCCACCATTTTTTTAACGGTTAGCGAGTGGGTCCAACAAGGTGGACAGCCAAAAGTCATCCCTCTGTCTGATGGGGTTATTATTCGGGCTGTCGCTACGCAAAGCAACCGAAGCATGCAGTATGGGCCATTTGATGCCAAGGAATGCCAGGGACTCCCTGCCTCCATCTCCACAGCATACTGCCACGGTGCGTACTGGGTCCTCTGTCTCCTCCTCCTCCTCTACCAGATTGCTCATGCTCCTCCACTCCTGTCCCTGTCTCCTGAGTGGAAAAACCACCCATTTCACTCAATAATTCATGAGCACCAATGTCCTCCTCTACCATCCTCTTCTTCCTGGTGTCCTGCCCCCACAGGGGTCATCTGGTGGCGTTGAGATCCTGTGCGTCCACCAACGTCTACCGCACCCTGACCATCCATTGTTAACAGCATTTGTTCCAGGACGTGCAAGCAGAGGAATGACGTACGTTCATAGAGTCCCCATAGTCCCTGTCCGACTCAGCGAATAGCGATGGCCTCCTCAAAGGGCTCTGAGCAAGCGGCAGGTGTCACGCATGATCTGCCAATTGGGCTGAGACATCTAAGTTACACAGAGGAATACGTACCTGTATCCGCAATGTAACAATCAGGAAAATCGGTGATGGGGCCTTTTTCACGCTGTTCGTAAAGGCGGTTCAAATCATATGTAGGGTTTGGAATTACCACCTTGTTGCAACGTCGCAGATCAGGGGCGATGCTGTGTAATATTCCGTTCTGCCGCTGCAAGCTCAAGGATGGTGTAGCTTTGCGGTGTAGGAATGGCTGAAAAATGCATGCAAAGTATTTACGTGACTAATGTTAATGATGTCTTGGCATAGGGAAAGTGGTGGATTTTAAAGGAACCGCTTGGACATACCAGAATTGAACACGTGATTCCATGCAAGGTCGCATGGCCACAACCATCCATGACGCAGAGCAGGACACCATGTTCTTTCCGGTAGTCGGTCACCATGGTTCTGATTTTACAGTTTGCGCTGGAGAGACAGCCATCCTGTCGATTTCTTCAGTTCATTTACACTCAGAAGTTTCCTACCCTAGGTGTGACTAACGTTCGCCCAAGGCATACCAGGTGCAGCACCAGCGTGACACCGTTGCTGCCCTGCACCTATTGTGATATTGCCGCGTTCGTGTAATGGGAACTTGGCACAGGGGGAAGATAGCGGTGGCGGCTTGAGGACACGGCGGAAGAAGGAAGTTGGTTGGTAGTGGCGGACATCTTTGCTGTGACGCAAGAGGAACTGTGCAAACGTGGAGGCAAAAGCGGAGCGAGACCTGTCCAAGTTGCTGGTACGCGGCTGTGCCGGCACCGCACGTTCACCCCAGTGGTGCCGATAAATGACCATGTACTGTCCTGCACCGTAGTTACAGCTCCTCACCACGTACGCGCAGATGCCGTGCACATTGGGGGCAGAGAACCGACCATGGCTCAAAGACTGGGCCCCACATCTCTTCTACACTGTGAATGCAGGGCAGGCACTAGTCTTTTTTGGACAAAGAATGCCGGCTCTTGGCACTCTCACATTCCACATCACGCGGCTCTGCACAAAAGCCATCATTTCATCGGAGATGGTGCTGAGTCCACCACATGGAAAAGGGAGGGTACTTGCAGCACCCAGCATCGTGGACAGGTAGGGACGTTCACTTCCTGCAATACCGTACGGTGCAGGTGCTCGCAAACTGTTGTCTCTTGGAAACGTGATTCCAAGAAAGGACTGGCAGACCGGAATCCGTGAAGAGGTATTAGCAGTAGTAAGTGGAGCATCTGAACCGGAGCGGAAGAATGCCAAACGACGCGGACAACTCACATCAGCAGAGGTGATGTGGAGCCTAGAACTGGCTGACTAGAGGGCGATCTGACGTCGGGT